TGAAAACACTTTCCAGGTGCTTTTGATAGCTGATCAACTCAAAGAGAAAACAAATTAAATCATCCTATTATAAACTTGGGTAATTAAATGTTCTCACATCCAATAAACTGAATTTATAAATTTACTATATTCTATTTTAAACACTTCAATTACCTTTAACAAGTAAACCGTTCTAAGAACTGTAGGCAATACATTATAAAGTTTTAAATATTATTAACATTAAGTTCTAAATAATCTCATGGTTTCTAAGTTTAGCCAAATGCGTGCACCTCTCAATTTAAAAAAACAATTACACAAATAAGTGTTTTAAATAGTATTTACAAAACTAATTTGTATGCACTTTAATAGGCCTAATTCTCTGAAACAACAGTAGTTTGAAAACCAAGTACACTGATTATTCCTAAACTTAACACAAAAATACTACGCATTTAATAAGTTTTCTCTTTCTATATTTACTTCTAACCTTATCATAGATAAAGGATTCCTCAAGGAAAAAAAGTGATTCTAAAAGCATGGTCCTCAGAGCTGGAGCACCAGCATCACTTGGTAAAAACTGTTAGAAATGGGTATTATAGGGCCCAACCCAGAAGTACTAAATCAGATGTTCTGGGGAAAGGCCCATCATTTTCGTTTTAACAAGACTTTCAAGTGATTCTGACACACACTAAAGTCTAAGAATCACTGCTTTACTGTAGCCTCAAATATTCAGAGGCAGCTTTGTCCTAAAACACAGAGCAGAGTTCAGTGAGATGAGCAGCAATTCTAAAATAGGGAAAACTACCTCATGGTTGATAAGGAAACAATATTATGAGCTCAAACTTACCATCAGTTACTATCAGAGCAGGTTGAGATTGTTTGTCAAGGTTCTTTCCCTGACAATTCCCACCTTAAGAAATGAGACTAAGTGTAGACATCTAGGGTCACCCTCTTCCACTGACCAACACTGAGTTGTTTTTTTTTTTTTCAAGTGGTCCTCCAAATTTTTTAGAGGCACTTGGTCTTTCATGGGTTCAAAATAAACTATTATCTAACTCTTACAGATAATCTGCATCTTATCTAACTCTTACAGATAATCTGCATCTGCAATTTCCAACCTAAAATATATCTAACTTTTCTAATGTCTTCATTGGATTTTACTTTTCAGCTCATTTTAATATCTATCGTTAAAAAAGCTTCAATGACAATTCATCCTAGCCTTTAACTAATTTAACTTGTTTTAATTTAACATCATACATGTTAGAGTTCTGCATTTTTCTCACCTTTTTTTTTTCCTGAGAGGGCTGTAACTCAGAAATATGAAGGTAACATTCAAATGGATTCTAGATTCTACACCCCTTACTTCTTTGTCTGGCTCCGTTTTTCATCAGGAAAATGGGATAACTGTACCTACCTAGCTTATAGAGTTGTTATTATTAGGATTAAATACAATATTCGCTAGTGTCTGCCCCAATGCTCCTGGCAATTTTATTCTTGTCGCCGTTTCCTCCTAAACGATAGTGTTTAACTGCTAAAAACTGAAAATAAAATTTAAACAAGACAGAGATGTGTTTAAAAGTATACTGTCACCAAGTGGGAAAACATTTGACATGCCGTGTAGTTTATGGTAATAATTGTATCACAATAAACTGTGACTTAAACGTGATAAATTTATTTACACTTATTTATTACTATATGATCTAGTAAAGTGAATACTTTCAAAGGCTGCATAGTACAGGCTTATGGTCACACTCCCAAACATGACCTATACTCAAGGTCCAAGAATTTTTCTTGAATCAAGTCATAATTGACTCTTTAGGTAAACACAAGAATTGCATCATGTTTTCTTTGTAACTGTTATTAACTATAGCTATAGCAATGGTGTGATAAGCTCCTTAATGTGTCTAAACCCAATTATGGTTTTCTTGGGGGCAACTATATAATGTTGGAGTCAGAAAACACTAAAAGCTAGTAAAAGCAAAGGTAGCCACCTAGAAAAGGAGTAAAGGCATCAGTAACAATAACAGTCCAGTAAGTGGTTTGTTTACAGAAAACTGAGTAAAATCAAAAACATTTGACCAAAATTCTATCTAGTTCATCCTTAATACGTCAACAGTAAAGCTATTTTATCAACACAGCTGATTTTATCAACTGAACAGGCAATGGGGCAAGATCACTAACAACAAACGGGTCCTGAAGTACAACCAATCTATAAGCATGGATGGGTCTGTACACGAAATACTGCTATAGTACAGAGGATATTTTAAAGAATTGAATGAAGGGTGAGAGACAAAAGGAAACTTAGGGAGCTGTTATAAACATCTGAAATAAAGGCAGTCACAAACAGAAAGGGGAGAAGAAACCTTTCAAACAGACTGACAGATCCTCATTCTAAAAGACACAAATACAAAAACACCCCCATAAAAAAAAAACAACACCCTATATCCAAAATTCATTGGATAGGCAGGTGCAAAAAGAGTTCTCATTTTAAGCAAAGGCAGTAGAAACTAAAAGCACAACCTATTTTTTTTTTTTTAACCTATATATACATGTGTTGCCTCTCAAAGGAGTCAATCTAGGGAACTAACTCTAAAAGTGATGATCACATTTATTGCTGGGGCACTTATTTCTTGAACTGCCTTCAGAACTCAGGAGGCATAACTTGAGAGATCCACAATGTTTTTACAACCAAATGCTATTTTGTAACTTTACCACCAGTCATTTTCACTGGTTGTCTTCTCTTTGAGATGCAAAAGAGCTCTGAAATTGAGAACCTTTAGAATCATCTCATCAGGTTCATTTACAAGAAACAAGAAAATATAGGCCCAAAGAGATTAAGAAAAATTGACAAATTGTTCCAGCAAGTTAATGACAGGCACATCTGCCCACCTAACTGTGATCATAACTGGGACATCACTAAGGCCTCTATAACTTGTATCAGAGATTTGAGGGCACCATAAATATTAAACAATGTGCCATGAGTTGATAAGGCAGCTTTGATAGAAGAAGAATTTTGAAACTGAAGCTCTGAAGGAAGAGTGTCAGCTGTAGCAGTCTGCTCAATGAATCGTTTTGAATAAATGAATCAGTTATGTATGTCGAGGCTCACTGAAATACTGACCATATTCCTGGTTAAGTTCCACCACATATTTCTGAATTCTCCATTATCTAGAGGTTGGTCATCTATCAATTGTTTTCAATTAGGCAACTAAAGACTCATTTTTAAAAATCCTCTAATCAGGGGTGCCTTGGTGGCTCAGTCCGTTAAGCGTCCAACTTCGGTTCAGGTCATGATCTCATGGTTCGTGGGTTCAAGCCCCGCGTCGGGCTCTGTGCTGACTGCCAGCTCAGAGCCTGGAGACTGTTCTCAGATTCTGTATCTCCCTGTCTCTCTGACCCTCCCCTGCTCTCGCTGTCTCTCTCTCTCTCTCTCTCAGGAAAAAAAACAAAACATTAAAATTAAAAAAAAAATCCTTTATTCAAACACTTTAAAATTTCAAACACACCTCATCCTTGGTTCCACCTTTAGGAGACAACAGCATCTGGTTAACCCTCTTCAAAGCAGAAATAAAGTAGCCCCCTTTTTCCTTTTCTAATTCCAGAAACAGGAATTCTAAAGACAAGATACGTTATGTAAAGTGAGAAAAAAAATACCTAAAGGCGCCATGCTAAAATTAAGATTTTAATATTCAAGTTTCTCCAAAGCTTAACTTCCACACCTACACACAGACCTATAGATGTGTCCACCCCTTCACTGCTTTAAAATGAATGGCAGGATGTGGAGCACGGGTAGATTTTACACTCTGTGAGCTTCTCTGTCTACTCTAAACTCTCCTAAGTTGACTCTCATAACACCAAAGTGCATAAGAAGCCAACGAGCAAAAACAAAGTACAAATAATTAGGAGGGGCCTGCCACTCATTGTAACTTAGAGGAGGCCAAGGACACTGGCTTAGCTCCCATATGCAACATACCTCTTCAGGGAGCGCTGTTTAAAATTCCATAAGGCATCAATATTGTGCCTTCACGGCTGCTTTTTTTTTTTTTTTTTTTGAAAGAACGGTACGAAGCCATTATGACGAAAGAAAACTAACCTACGCGCGGGTACAAGTGGTCACGGAGAAGAAAAGTTTTCTAAGTTCCGCCATCGCAAGACAACACGCAGCCTTTCAAAATACGTGACGCAAAAATCAACCTAGGCTCCAGCGTAAACCAGGCATTTTCTCTCCCAAAGCTGTGACAAGTGCTCAAGCGAATCCCAGCAGTTGACAAACACCAAATAAAAACACGGACTCAAACCAAAACCAAACCAGGCACGGCGTTCGTAACTACCCCGAAGACGAAAAGCGCCGGCAGGATCAGGGGTTCAAGCGTCCCCCGCCGGCGGGAGGGCAGAAAGGATGGCTCGTAGCCCCGAAACACTTGGCGGGGTCAGTGCGGCCGAGTCTAGGTGAAGAAAGCAGGAAGAGCAGGGCAGGAAAAGCGACGGCGCACACAGAAAGCCTTCCGTCCCCCGAGCAGAGCGAGCGCTTCCCTCCTCGCCCCCTCCCTGCCTCCAGCCCAGGCACACCTGCCAACGCCCGGCCGCGCGACCCCCGCCCGCCCGGTTCGCGTCCGGCGCCAGGCGGGGCGGCGCACTCCCGCCCCGAGCCCTGAGCGCCGCCCCCACCCTCAGCCCTCAGCCCGGGTCGGCCGCGCGGGGGGCGAAGGGAGGCTGGGCTCACCGGGTCCCTCCGGGCTGGACGGCGCCGGGGGCCGGTGGGGCGGGGACCCGCACCCGGGGTCCCCCTGGGCGGGCTCCCTCAGGTAATCCTCGAAGCGCACCTGCCGGGCTTCGCCGCCACCGCCGAAGCCCCACAGGCGGCTGGCCGTGCCCCGCAGAAGGCGCCCGCTCTTGCCCGTGAAAGTGGTCAGGTAGTCCATGCCGCCGCGGGGCAGGGGCCCAGGAAGCCGAGGGTGGCGGCGGCGGCGGCGGCGGCCACCGGGTGCGCGCCCGCCAGCGCCAGCGACCCGACCCGGGGGCGGTGGCTCCGCGCGCCTCACAGCAGGCGGGCAGGGGGAGGGGGCTTCCCCAGTCCGGCCTGGGGGCGGACCATCAGGAAACGACGCATCGGGGGGGAGCAGAAGCTCACAGAAGTTTTGAAAAGTTTTTTCTTGTGGCTTCCGAACGCCAAGTCAGGTAGGTCTCAGCTTGGGAAGTAAGTGTGTTCTCACTGGAACCGAGGAGGGGACGAAACGCTGGCGGGTTTTTGGCAAGCCGGACCGGTCCCATCCGCTCCTCCACCCCCTCGTCCGGCTCCAATGGAGTAGGCCTGCCCCGCCCTGCCCCGCCCCGCCCGGACCCGACCGGACTTTCAGGACGGCCGGGGAAAGGCGAGGAGGGCGAGCCTTGGGCCCCTAGGGCTGAGCCGGGGTTAAAAACGGGAAAAATGGCCCAGGGGAGGCTTTGCTGGAGTTGCGCTGAGTTTGGGGACGTAGGAGGGCCATCTCAAAAAGTTTGCTTGAGTGAGTGAGTGAGTGAGTGTGTGTGTGTGTGTGTGTGTGTGTGTGTGTTAAGAGGAGGGAAACAATTCATTTGAAACTTTTGCAGCTTGTAATTTTGGGGGGCGGGGTGTGGGTAGAGAGGAAAGAGGGAAGGTTAATTTTAACATAAAACTTCAGTTATAGTTAAAATAAAACCAACGTAGATAAAATGCTTCTTAGGAAGAATTATGAGACCATATTCGTAGAATAGAGCATTAATAGTCTCGTTTTAAGTTCTTCGTAGCATTATGAACTGATGTTAGTTCGACATTCCATGAATCTGGTCCTGTAAAGCAGGGTAATTAAGGGCTTTAGTGTGCAACCTTATCCTCCTTTAAGCAGAGGAGCAATGACTTTTGACAAACATTTACTACTCGATTTTGTTTCCTGTGGGATCTGGTTATTCTCTTCCGTTCACATCTGTTTATATCACTTTTAGTTTTTCTCACACAGTAAATAAATAAACCCTCTTTTTTGGACCTACCAATTCATGTCTGTGAAGAAAAGTTTTGAATTATTTAGGGGTTGAAAGAGGTGGTCATAACAAACAATAGAATCCAGAGAATCTTTCAGGAATTTAAGCTTTTTGCCAAACTATACAGATTATCCCCTCTTCCCTTTTTCTAAGTGATCTTTTTCCCACCATCACCATTTTCGGATTAAATTCTTACTAGAAACACTTCACCATTCTAACAAGAGCATCACCTTTACACTTGGTTAAAAATACAGAATGTTTGCCCTGTACCCTCAGAGTGTAATTCAGCGTTTGTGAGAAAGGACCCAGGAATCTGCATATCCAGCAATCATTCAAGCGTTCAGAGGTGCTGCTTGGGAAAGCACTACCTTCTGGACCTCCTACGGGACCCATGCGTAGAATGGTTAAGTGGCTCCTAGTTCTTCAGAGATTTCCATTTGATAAGGAAGCATTACCACCCTTCGCATCACTTGTAAAATCACTCGGAGGCTCAGGAAGCTTAAAAATCACACTGGAATGGGGCCGTCTAGGTGGCTCAGTCGGTTAAGTGCCCAAGTTCGGCTCAGGTCATGATCTCACGGTTTGTGGGTTTGAGCCCCTTGTCCGGCTCTGTGCTGACAGCTCAGAGCCTGGAGCCTGTTTGAGATTCTGTGTCTCCCTCTCTCACTGACCCTCCCGTGCTCACGCTGTGTCTCTCTCTCTCTCAGAAATAAATAAAAACATTAAAAAAAAATCACACTGGAATGATCGAAGTCTAATTCTGATTAACTAAATTGAAATTCTTTTTCTAAGATATGTTTTACATCTTGAAATTTATCATTTAGTGTGTGATAATCATATCCAAAATAGTGTTGGAGTAGTTTACACTTGATTGAATCTGCACTTTTGCATCCAACTTTAGCAGGAACTTGTACTCTACCAGATCAAATACAGGTTTACAGGCAGTTAATCCATGAATTTTTTTCTGCTTCTGTTTCATGGAAAGCTAGAAGTGCTGGAGAAAAAATGTATAACCTTAATGATTAAGGGTTTTACAAATTTTGATTTAAACACAACTAAGCCCTAATGTCTCCAAAATCCTTTTATTCATATAATCTATCAGCTGTTTTTTATTCTTCACGTTAGTTTTCTGAACCATCAACATTCCCTTGAAGTTACTAAATTCATCATTGCAAAATGTTACTTTGCCTTCTGTATGTAAAATCATAGGCCACCCAATATGAATACTCTCACTTTTCTTCCCTTTTTCTCTTCCATCTACAGCAAGCTCATCTACATTAGTTTGCTTCAGAAGGAAGAAAGTCCTTACTCCTGTACATGCTGTTCCTTCTCCAAATTAACTCTTGATCTTACTCTGGTTTATGTTGTCTATGACTTGCCAGCCTCATTACTTCTCTCTTCTGTTATTTTCTCTCTCTACTTTGGTTCCTTCCCCTTTATCCTACCAATATCATCCACATAAATCCTTTCCATCCTTTAAAAAAAATGTTTCTTTATACCATGCCTGTCTCCTCCAGAAGCCTTTGCCTCGTTTAAAAATAGCTTTATTGACATAGGATTTACAAACCATATAATTCACCTGTTAAAAGTATACGATTCGGGGCACCCGGGTGGCTCAGTCGGTTAAGCGTCCAACTTTGGTTCAGGTCATGATCTCACAGTTCCTGGGTTCGAGACCCGCTTCCAGCTCTGTGCTGGCTGCCAGCTCAGAGGCTGGAGCCTGTTTCAGATTCTGTGTCTCCCTCTCTCTCTGACCCTCCCCTGCTCACGCTGTCTCTCTCTCTCTCTCAGAAATAAATAAAAAGCAAAGAACAAAAAGTATACATTTCAACGGATGCTGTTTATTTACAAAGTTGTTAAACCATCACCAAAATCTAATTTTGCAACATTTCTATCACCCCCAAAAAGAAACCTCTTACCTATTTGCAGTCACTCCCCATTCCCACCCCTAGGAGTTGATGACCACTAATCTACTCTCTGTCTTTATGGATTTGCCTTTTGTAGATCTCATACATATGGAATTATATAATATCTGGTGTTTGGTGTCTGACTTCTTTCACTTAACATAATGTTTCTGAGACTTATACATGTTATAGCATGTATTCGTATTTCATTCATTTCTATTGCAAATAATATTCCATTGTATGGATATATCAAATTTTATTTTTTTGTAAGTTGAGAATTTGGATTGTTCTCAGTTTTTGGCTATTATGAATAATGTTGCTATGAACATCTGTGTGCAAATTTTTTATGGATATATGTTTCATTTCCCTATATATACTACTGTAAGCCTAAGTTATATAACATGATAATTTGATACAAGTATATATTGCAAAATGATTACCATAATAAGGTTAGTTAACACCTCCATCAATACACGCAATTCTTTTTTTTTTTTGTGGTGAAAACGTTTAAGATTTATTCTTTTAGTAATAATCAAGCATATAATATACTATTGTTGACTATAGTCACCATGCCATATATTGGATCCTCAGAACTTACTCATCTTAAAACTGGAAGTTTGTATCACCTGAGCAACATCTCACCATTAACTCCAACTTCCAGCTCCCCATCCCCTGCAACCACTGTTCTACTGTATGTTTCTATGAACTCAACTTTTTTCGATTCTACATGTGAGATCATACAGTATTTGTCTTTCTTTGACTTCTGTTTTCACTTAGCAGAGTGCCCTCAAGATCCGTCCATGTTGTTGCAAATGATAGGATTTCCTTCTTTTTAATGTCTGAGTAATATTCCTCTGTGTGTGTGTGGAGGAGGGGGAAGGCATAATTTAGTCTGTCCCACCTCGGGCCACCACGAGGGCCCCCGAGTCCCTGCTCTGCTCGGGGCCCCATGCTGGAGCAGTGAGGGCCAGGGAAGCCCAGGCCCTGCCCTCCCGAAGCAGTGGTATATATAGGGAAATGAAACATATATCCATAAAAAACTTAGCTAGATTAGCTATTTGAGGTCTTTTGCAATTTCTTTTGAATCTTAGGATTGTTTGTTTTATTTCTAAGAAAAATGCCACTGGACTTTTGATAGAGATTGTATTAAAAATGTAGAACACTTTAGGTAGTAAAGGCATTTTAACAATATCGTTCTAATACATGAACACAGAATACCTTTCTATTTATTTGGATCTCCAATTTCTTTCCTCAGTATCTTATAGTTTTCAGAGTAGAGATCTTTCAACTTTTTGGTAAATTTATTGTGAAATATTCTTTGTTTATTTATTTATGTATTTGTTTATTATTTAGTTTATTGTTTTTGATGCTGTTATATATGGGATTGTTTGCTTTATTTCTTTTTCAGATAGTTCATGGTTAGTCTATGTGAATGGAACTGCTTTTCTCTGTTGATTTGTTTGTTTTTTTTTAATGTTTTTTATTTATTTCTGAGAGAGAGAGAGACAGCGTGAGCAGGCAAGGGTCAGAGAGAGAAGGAGATACAAAATCTGAAACAGGCTCCAGGCTCTGAGCTAGCTGTCAGCACAGAGCCCGACAAGGGGCTCACACCCACGAACCGTGAGGTCATGACCTGAGCCGAAGTCGGATGCTTAACCGACTAAGCCACCCAGGCACCCCTCTCTGTTGATGTGTATCCTGCAACTTTATAAAATTTGTTTATTAGTACTAACAGTATTTTCATGGAGTTTTTAGGATTTTCTATATATAAGATCCTGTCATCTGCAAATACAGACAATTTTATTTCTTTAATATTTAATTGCCTTTTATTTCTTCGTTTTGCCTAAATGCTCTAGCTAGAACTTTCAGGACTATTTGAATAGAGAGTAAGCGCCCTTGTCTTCTTCCTGATCTTAGAGGAAAATCTTTCAGACTTTTACCATTGAGTGTGATGTTAGCAGTGGGCTTGATAGGGCCTTCATTATGTTGAAGTACATTCCTTCCATACTCAATTTATTGAGAGCTTTTGCCATGGTTGGAGAATGAATTTTGTCAGTTATTTTTCTATATGTTCATTATTTTTCTATATCTATTATGATAGTTATATGATTTTTATCTATTAATGTGGCATATAACATTTATTTATTTGCATATTTAAACCGTTCTTGCATCTCAGGGTTAAATTCCACTTGATCATGGTGTATGATCTTTCTAATATGCTACTGAATCTGGTTTGTTAGTATTTTGTTAAGAATTTTGCATCTCTATTTATTAGAG